ATATAGGAAAACTGATAAGGTGCTTATAAATGATTATAAAGCACCCCCTTTCTTTCAACAAATTATTTGAATGAACCCTATTCTCCCTATACCGGATTAAAGGTGGCGTCAGCAATATAAGCTTAAGTGGAAGTAACATCTTGTTGGTTATAAACACTGTTACTTTTTGGCATTGTACCGTAAATTTGGACATCATTTGCAAAATTTTCGGGTCCCCTTCCTTGGTTGGTTATATTTATTATGCCTACAATCTGAAATCAATCGTCGAAAAAGCAGATTTCAATGGTATTTCAATAATTTTAGATAATTGATAGATAGCGCAGATATGCATCATAATGAATTCATTAACAAAAAAGCGGAGAGTGACTCCTAGGAAGCTCGGTCAAGTAGTCCAATTTCTTTTATTTTCTTCACTGTCAGTAAAAGGTTGATGCTGCAGTTCGATATTGTATCTATGTACTGATCAATCCCTAAATTGTTAAAAATTGAGAAAAATTACGTCATCTCCCTTCTCCACTTAGAACAGCTTCGCCACGGGTGGTACTCCGCCCACCCCGCCCTTTGATTTTTGATTGAATGGCAACTCTTCCTTTACCATCAGTACTGATGATGAATTCTTCAATTTTACCCCCCTGTCAATACGACTTTGCCACGCTAGTGGACGATTCCTTTGTTGAATGCACTGTCATAAATCAAGCCAGATGTGACATTGGCAAGAGGTGGTTGTTGGCAATATAAAAATAAAGCTGTTTAAAGCCTTTAGGGATTCTTTTTGAAATAAACTTGCCACTGAACTCTCGTTGGCTGGATGCTTTCGATAATGCTGGATGGTAAATCGAGAAAATAACATGTGTGTGATATAGATATTGTTTAAATTAAGTAGCTTAAGTAGGGTGCTAATTCTGCAAAAGGAGATCGACTACAGGAAATCTCTTTACAAATATACTGAACACAGAACAATTCGGCTGTATAGCCTGTCCACGATGCCGTTTACACCTAGAGTGCCTTCAGTCTAGATGGTGCGAACAGCAATTTTTGGCTATTATAATGGCTCAACCTCGGTTGCATGA